TTTTTGCGATCATTTTTATCGATACGTAACCTTCTGGTGAGAGTTCTACGATCAACGAATTCTATTGATAACAAATTTTTTGAGTTTTCTAGAAGGACAAACTTTGAATTCCATTGCAGTATGCAGATTTAAATTTACTCTGCTTAACCAGTCTCTTTATTCACTTCAGAGCGGATCAGCTTTTGTAATCTGAAAAAAAGTGTTATAAGCGGTTGAGTTGTGCCGTTCTTGTATTTTATAGTATCTGACCTATTATACATCTTTTTTTTTTTTGTTCATATTCTCCTTAATTTTTTTTGTATGAACGTTTTTAACCATGAATTCGTTTCATCATGATTTTAAGAATATCTGTGCAATTCGCTTTAAAGTTTTCAAGATATAGTGTTGAAGCATGGCTTTTTCAGTTATGCGGTTCCGTCAGACCGCTTTTCGGTCATAGAATTATACAGCAGATGTGCACTTGTTCCACAGCTGTGGAATTTTAAGAATTGGGAAAAATCGGAACTTGGCTTTCAGGTCTATCAATAGGTACGTGACTTCCTTCACTCACTGTTTCGCTACTTCTTCGTTGTTACTTGAGTGTCTCGAAAGCCTATTCAACTATAGCCTTTTTGCTATAAGTAAGTACTGTTAAAGTAGCAGCAACACGAAAGGAAGGACAGAGTTTATATTTTTCAGAGGTGGAATTAAAAGCCTGCAGCTACAGAACAGTTTCAGCTTCAGTTTTTTTCTGAAATACCAGTAAAACTGCTTTAGAAACTTTTCGATATTGGAAAGTTTACATTGAAATTAAACTTACGAAACGTATTGAAGTGTGTAGATTTTTCTAAAATTACAAGAGCTGACTAGGCCGTGATAAAAAACCAAGTTAAAAATGAGGAGGAATCATGTGCCAGAAAAACATTTCAAAGAAAGAAGTTGCAGTTTGCAATACTATTTTGGTTCCTCACAGTTTCTGCTGGCTTAAGCTGTTACCGAAACATCTAGAATGACCTAAGCTTCAAGCTCGGTCGCTTTCTGTGCCAGCAAGGGTCTAATTTATTCCCGATAAGCAATAGCTCTGCAAATAAGTTGCGTAATAAGACGGAGAGCCTTGAAAGAGGTAACTTTTGTTGTAAATAGCATGGAAAAATCATCAAAAATTCTAATTTTCTCTTTTTCAAATTTTTCTGGTCTAATTTATAATTCTTTTTTGGCTGTCTGTTCCACAGTTCTTTGTTTCCTCTGTTGTAACTCAGACGTGAACTCGCATAGCCATTGTAAAATGCCCTCTAACTAATTAGTCCTTGTCATTGTATTTATACGCTGTTCTCCAATAATTAAATGAAACTGTTTAACGGAAACTATTTGCTCAATAATGACAGGATTTAGAAAAATACGAACTGAAGTGGACTAACTTGGAAATTCATTCTTTAGAAAGAAGTCTTTGGTTGGACTGTACTGGTTACTGGAAAATGGGACCGGATAAGAATGCCACTAGTAATTTAGAGGGCGATGACAGCAATGAGTGGACGCTATTTGATTTCGGGATCAAAGAGCTAAGAGATTACACGGAAATCGATGTTCTTGGGCCAAATGGTGTTTATGTAAAACTAAGCTGTAGGCCGAATACCACTTTGAGGATGCTGAAGGACGACGCTTTATTCGAATTGAAAAAGTGTGCTCATTTTTATCAAAAGTTTTGCTTCATCGCAAATTATATGTTTTATCTTTCTTTTTGTTCTGCGAGAAAAAAAAAATATTTCAG